TAGTATATACTGTGCATTAGTATACACATTCTTTCATGTGTATATTCATTCAAATACTAACCTTTGTCTTTCGTCTTTCCAGTTGTCGTTGGAATATGTTTAGCACAAGCAAGTTACTTGTCACCTGTAAATGGAAATGGTTTTTCTCTTAATGGAAATGGAATACGCACAAATGGCCATGGATATACTAATGATGTTAATGGCAATGGTAATGGTGCATATACAAATGGTAATGGCATAAATGGCAATGGTGCACATACAAATGGCAATGGCAGAAATGGAAATGGCAATGGTGCATTGTCTAATGGAAATGCAAATGGCAACGGTATGTATTTTGGGAATGGAGCCATAAATGGTAACGGTAATGGAGTTTATAGAAACGGGAATGGGAGAGGTGCATATATAAAGGGTAATGGTATAAATGGGAACGGAGTATATACAAATGGTAATGGTAGATATGGAAATGGCAATGGTGCATTTTCTAATGGAAATGGGGCTTATGTAAATGGAAATGGCAACGGTGCATATTCCAATGGTAACGGTGCATATACCAATGGAAACGGGAATGGAGCCTACAGAAATGGTAATGGGGTCACCGTGTACGCCAATGGCATTGTGGATCCGTTCAGAGCTCTGGCTGATGCCATTGGCGGTGGAGGCGTGCCAGGTGTGGACTACCCCATCCTGGCCTTCGTCCCCGACACCGGGTTCTCCTGCAACGGCCAACTTCCAGGATATTACGCTGATACTTCGCCTGAGGCTGGATGCCAGGTAAGTGCCAAATCCTTTAAGAATATGAATTATCGGGAGAAATTTATTTTAATGATTAATATTTGATTCTACTTAAATGTTAATACCATATAATATATACTGACACAGTCATATTCATAATTACCAGTATTTTCTTAAATATCTAACTATTACAAAATTTCCATTAAATTGTGCGTTAAAATATATACGTAATGTATCAAAATATCCTCAATTTTGTACAGATAGGAAAATAAAATTACGTTTCGATTTATAGACATAAAAAGACATGATTTCTTGTGATATATTTCAGGTATTCCACATCTGTCAGGCAGGAGGCAGAATCGACTCGTTCCTTTGTCCCAATGGCACAGTTTTCAATCAGCAACACTTTGTGTGCGATTGGTGGTACAACTTTGACTGTTCCAAGGCTGAACAGTTCTACGGTTTGAATGCTGAGATTGGTAATTTCAATGGAAATGGATACACAAACGGCAATGGTTATAATGGATATGCCAATGGTAACGGATACACTAACGGTAATGGCAACGGCATTGGTTACAACAACGGTCATAGGAATGGTAATGGATATAACAACGGCAACGGATATACCAACGGTAATGGCAACGGCAACGGTTACACCAACGGTAATGGATACACCAATAGTAATGGCAACGGTTACACCAATGGTAATGGCAACGGCAACGGATACACCAATGGTAATGGCAACGGTAATGGCAACGGTTACACCAACGGTAATGGATACACCAATGGTAAAGGCAACGGCAACGGATACACCAACGGTAATGGCTACGGCAACGGATTTACCAACGGTAATGGCAACAGTAATGGATACACCAACGGTAATGGATACACCAATGGTAATGGCAACGGTTACACCAACGGTAATGGCAACGGTTACACCAACGGTAATGGATACACCAATGGTAATGGCAACGGCAACGGATACGCCAACAGTAACGGCTACGGCAACGGATACACCGACGGTAATGGCAACAGTAATGGATACAAAAATGGGAATGGATACAACGGTAGTGGGAACAGAAACGGTAATGGTTACACCAATGGCAATGGTAACGGGAATAGGTACAGCAACGGCAACGGTAAAAGAAACGGCAATGGTAATGGAAACGGGTTTAGCAACGGAAATGGGTATACAAATGGCAAAAGAAATGGATACAGCAATGGGAATGGATATACTAATGGCAATGGTAATGGGAACGGCTACACCAATGGCAAAACCAATGGAAATGGTAGAGCGACGTATGGTAACGGAATAAATGGATTGTATCAAACGCCGAGTCTCTGAGTCACGTAGTATTTTTCTATTTAATAAGAATAAACGACATTTCTACTAAAACGATTATATTACAGAGATCTTCAATTACATGAAACAGTGTTGATAGAAAAGCTTAGATGACGAATTATGAAGCATTAGTCAAAATGAAAAGAAAGATTTTGGTCTATTACGTCACTATCACAATATCCCAAACTTGTTATGTTCGTAGCAATGTTTTAAAAGTTATATTTCATATTCTATTAAATTGTATTTAACTATGTTGATGGTAAAACTGTTTCATTTATAATTGTGTGTCAGTATAAAACTAAAGACATTTTCGAAAATAAAGATAATCATATAAGAAGCATTGTTCCTTTACCTAATATCTTTTAGGTTGAACCATTCTGTCGATATCAATCAAACACAAATAATGATAATATTACTTTGGTATCGCCACCGGTACCCGTTTTTTTTTTTTTTTTTTTTTTTTTTTTTTTTGGTTTTATGGAAACCTCGAGAAAACCCAAATTTGACTAATCTAATTTTAATGTGAGCATCATGATTTATTGTTCTTAAGGCTCATAGGGGGTCATGAATTTATTCCTGTTGCATATATATTGAAGGTATTGCGGTCGTAGAAACAATTGTAAGCAATTTCTTAACAATAGACATTAAAAAAAAAACAAAAAAAAAAAACAAGTAATATTCTCTTCTACCAAGTTGATTAAATTCGAAGTTAAATTCTATACTCTTACTTTGCCTACTAATTATAAATCATTAATAATAATAAAGCTAGATCTAATGAAAACAAAGTGAAATGGGATCGAAATACTCACCCCTGGTTTCTTTCTGTTATTTACTTCCTCCCTTTCTAACTTCCATGATTTTCCTTCCCTACACTTTATTTACGGAATATATATACTAATAACGAAGAAAAAAATTGGCGATTCATTTATTCTTTTCTTCATAACTATCATTTCAAGCGAAACGGAAATGAATGACTATAACTTATGAACAACAAATGATGGTTATTTGTAGTTATTACTAAGCATTCAACAAAGAAAAAAATATATAACTCAGGTTAAGTAAGAACTAATATATTTCACAATTTTCCATTAGTTTGTTTGAATAACGCGGGGCTTCAGCAGAGCCATTTACAGATATATGGAAAGAAATTAATTAGACACCCATTCATATTCAACAACCATTTAAACATACACACCCATATATATCCATATATACATATACATATCCACTATAGTTAAACGTCATTGCTCAGTTACTGAACGTATTCGCAGAAAAAAGAAAAAAAAATCTTCGTGTATGGTTGGTGCTACAACTTTTTCTTCCGCTACTCCTTTCTCTTTTTCACCCCTCTCGGTCTCTCTCTCTATATATACATATGTATACCTATATATATGTGTATATATAAAAGCGTGTACATTTATATGTATATATGTCTGTGTACATATATATGCATATATAAGTGTACATACATGTATATATATATATATATATATATATATATATATATATATATATATATATATATATGCTTGTGTGTGTGTATATACACATATATGTATGTATGCTAATATATATATATATATATATATATATATATATATATATATATATATATATATATATATATATATATATATATATATATATATATATATATATATATATATATATATATATATATATATATATATATATATATATATATATATATATATATATATATATATATATATATATATATATATATATATATATATATATATATATATATATATATATATATATATATATATATATATATATATATATATATATATATATATATATATATATATATATATATATATATATATATATATATATATATATATATATATATATATATATATATATATATATATATATATATATATATATATATATATATATATATATATATATATATATATATATATATATATATATATATATATATATATATATATATATATATATATATATATATATATATATATATATATATATATATATATATATATATATATATATATATATATATATATATATATATACGTATATTTATATATGTGTATATAAATGTGTGTGTACACGTGCGCGCGCGCGTGTGTGTGTTTCTGTGTATATGTATGTGTGTTTGTGTCCCGACTAGCCCAGTGCCTCCCTCCTCTTGTCACCTTTTCTCGCTCCCTTTCGCCATTCTCAAGACTTCTTCTCCTATGTCCGTGGTGTCTCGCCGGCGACTATGAAGAGTTTGGATGTTGATTCTTTGTTCACAAACATCCAGCTTGATGACTTCAGAGGGAGCTCTACCGTGACGATACTTGTCTCCCTCTGCCCACCGATGTCTTCCTTCAGCTGCTTCGTCTGTTTGTGGAGTTTAATTCATTTGCCTGTGAAGGTCGCTTCGACTCCCACAAGTTCGGTGTTGCATTAGGTTTTCCTTTCTCTCCATATTTGTCAAACCTGTCCATGGAGTACTTCGAGTATGAGCTTCTCCCTTCTATCTCCATTCGTACTTCGGTCTGGCTGAGGTATGTCGACAACGTCTTTGGCATCTGGCCTCATGACTCTGCCTTGTTCTCGGATGTCCTGACGGAGCTGAAGACCCCCCCCCCCCCCTCTCTCTCTCTCCATCCGTTTCAAGACTGAATGGGAGGTAGAAAACAAACTTCAATTGCTGAACACTCTAGTTCATTGCTCTGCTGACAACTTCTCCTTTTCTGCATACAAGAAACCTATGTACAGTCGAATATGCTTAAACTTTTCGTAGTAGAAAGTATTTTGGTAATAGAAAGTATTTTGGTAAGACAGGCGTGAGTCTCACCATGTTTATGTCTCAACATAAATACGTTATATCCAGGGGAAACTTCTGCTAACAGTGGAACACAGGCCATCAGATGGGTAGGTCAGCTGCGCGTTTTGTCCATCCTTCCGCTGATGTCCAAGCCCGCAAATTGGTATATATATATATATATATATATATATATATATATATATATATATATATATATATATATATATATATATATATATATATATATATATATATATATATATATATATATATATATATATATATATATATATATATATATATATATATATATATATATATATATATATATATATATATATATATATATATATATATATATATATATATATATATATATATATATATATATATATATATATATATATATATATATATATATATATATATATATATATATATATATATATATATATATATATATATATATATATATATATATATATATATATATATATATATATATATATATATATATATATATATATATATATATATATATATATATATATATATATATATATATATATATATATATATATATATATATATATATATATATATATATATATATATATATATATATATATATATATATATATATATATATATATATATATATATATATATATATATATATATATATATATATATATATATATATATATATATATATATATATATATATATATATATATATATATATATATATATATATATATATATATATATATATATATATATATATATATATATATATATATATATATATATATATATATATATATATATATATATATATATATATATATATATATATATATATATATATATATATATATATATATATATATATATATATATATATATATATATATATATATATATATATATATATATATATATATATATATATATATATATATATATATATATATATATATATATATATATATATATATATATATATATATATATATATATATATATATATATATATATATATATATATATATATATATATATATATATATATATATATATATATATATATATATATATATATATATATATATATATATATATATATATATATATATATATATATATATATATATATATATATATATATATATATATATATATATATATATATATATATATATATATATATATATATATATATATATATATATATATATATATATATATATATATATATATATATATATATATATATATATATATATATATATATATATATATATATATATATATATATATATATATATATATATATATATATATATATATATATATATATATATATATATATATATATATATATATATATATATATATATATATATATATATATATATATATATATATATATATATATATATATATATATATATATATATATATATATATATATATATATATATATATATATATATATATATATATATATATATATATATATATATATATATATATATATATATATATATATATATATATATATATATATATATATATATATATATATATATATATATATATATATATATATATATATATATATATATATATATATATATATATATATATATATATATATATATATATATATATATATATATATATATATATATATATATATATATATATATATATATATATATATATATATATATATATATATATATATATATATATATATATATATATATATATATATATATATATATATATATATATATATATATATATATATATATATATATATATATATATATATATATATATATATATATATATATATATATATATATATATATATATATATATATATATATATATATATATATATATATATATATATATATATATATATATATATATATATATATATATATATATATATATATATATATATATATATATATATATATATATATATATATATATATATATATATATATATATATATATATATATATATATATATATATATATATATATATATATATATATATATATATATATATATATATATATATATATATATATATATATATATATATATATATATATATATATATATATATATATATATATATATATATATATATATATATATATATATATATATATATATATATATATATATATATATATATATATATATATATATATATATATATATATATATATATATATATATATATATATATATATATATATATATATATATATATATATATATATATATATATATATATATATATATATATATATATATATATATATATATATATATACAGGCCATCAGATGGGTAGGTCAGCTGCGCGTTTTGTCCATCCTTCCGCTGATGTCCAAGCCCGCAAATTGGTGGAACTCTCCTTGATCAGGGCCTCTTTCACACGAGGCAATCAGTGTACGACTCCGGTGGTGGACACTAATTGTTTCCTCGTGCGTAAGAAGCCATTGTGTGTCATTGTGTGGTGGGGTGCGTGGTGACATGGTATGGTATGTGAGTGATACTGTATGGTTGTGTGTGAGTTGACATTTTGGAGTAACAGGGAAGGCGCGTAGCAGAGAGTGTGTGGAGCAAAACCTGTTTTTGTAGATGAGATGAAAAACAAAGAGTGTATACTTTGAGTACTGCGATCTAGTTCCGCGAATGTATTTTTTTCCCCAAATTATATACTGTATGGTTATTGTTTTATTGTTCCTATTCTGGAAAGTAAATTTCTGCCCGGGATAAACCTGGCACTTTTACCTATCTATATGTTTGTTTGCATATATCTATTTGTATGTGTGTATGCATGCATGAAATACACATGAATGATCATGTCCTATGGACAAAAACTGATGGTTTAATGTAATTATAAACATGCATTTTTCTGTGATATATATATGTGTGTGTCTACTACAAAATATATCAATCAAATGATACACTGCAGTTACTTTTTATTCTTTATGCATTTGTTTTTGTCCTAGAAAGTTTGTCTGTAAATCTACACACATAAATATATGTGTGCATGTGTTTTTAAGCGCGAAAAACACTTAGTGTATAAAGTTAAGGACACAGAGACAGTGAGAAGCTCTAAGCTTGTGCGGACAATGCTTTTTGGATAATTATCTGGCCGACTGGTGCTTGTGATATGGTGGTGTTTTCGCAAAAAATGCAGGGTCTGATTTTCTGTTTTTCGATAAAACTGCTAAAAATGTATATGGATGCTGTTTTTTATTTACCTCTATAGTCTATTGCTCTCTCTCTCTCTCTCTCTCTCTGTCTCATTGTGATTACAGGATCATTTTAAGCACTCGAGTCATCACTCTAAAAGTGCCAGACTCAAATAGGTAATCTGTAGTTGAGTACCCATTAAAAATTGAGATAATGTGTCTGATGTCAACATTAACTCTCTTGGGAGTGATAGGACTTCACCTTGACCATGTGGCTGCCTATGGAACTATTTATTCCAACATGAGCTCTTATATCTAAATTTCCATTGTATATAATCATATATATATATGTATATATATATATATATATATACATATATATATATATATATATATATATATATATATATATATATATATATATATATATATATACATACGTATGCATGGACGTATATATATCATATATGTGTAAATATTTAAAAATCTGTATATACATATATGGGTGTATCTGTGTATGTGCGTTTGTGTGAATGTATATACTTCTTACATTTGAAGTGTCGAAAAAAAAATGTGAAAGCATATACATATGCTCGGAAGATATTTTATTACTATAGCCTTCACGTCTTTCTAGTAAATGTGATCTAACAGCAAACAACTTAATGCAAATTAATAAAGTTTATTTTCAAAATATACATAGTCTATATTATACGAGAAACATACAAGCCATTACATATCAATGATTATGGCACACATATACAAATTTGATGAACTACTCAAAGTGAAACATTATAATGCAGAAACTAGAATGGTACGGAACACTTGGTAATGTCGTCATAACCAATTCAAACACTATCCAGTTGATTTCAACAAATTAAATTTCACATATATTTAAATACGTCAAAAACAAAAAAACAAAAATGTGTCACTTTTTATGACCTAAGATCCTGCAAATGACTGTAGTAGTTAACATTGAGGCATGAATTAAATCATCTAAGTCTTGCCTTTAAAATAACTCATTCGCCCCCCCCCCCCAACTATAGAAAGCGAGAAAAATAAAGGAAACAGGGGTTGCCGGTTAGAAGCTTGGCGCCTGATAGAGTCCAGTAATGCCATTACCATTCCCATTACCATTAGGGGCACCATAGTAATATCCATTACCGTTTCCATTACCATTGCCATTCGTATATCCATTTCCATTGACAATACCATTTCCATTTCCATTGGTGTAGCCATTTCCGTTTCCATTGCCGTTACTATAACCATTCCCGTTGCCGTTGATAACACCATTCCCATTGCCATTGGTATAACCATTACGGTTGGTGTATCCATTTTCATTACCGTTGCCATTGGTGTATCCATTTCCGTTACCATTACCATTGCCATTAGTATAACCATTACCGTTGGTGTATCCATTTCCATTACCGTTGCCATTAGTGTATCCATTTCACTGTTACCATTACCCTTGCCATTAGTTTAAACCATTACCCGTTGGTGATATCCATTTCTATTAACCGTTGCCATTAGGGTATCCATTTCTGTTACCCATACCATTAGTATAAACCATTACCGTTGGTGTATCCATTTCCATTACCGTTGCCATTAGTGTATCCATTTCTTAGACAATTAGTATAACCATTACCGTTGGTGTATCCATTTCCATTACCGTTGCCATTAGTGTATCCATTTCTGTTACCATTACCATTGCCATTAGTATAACCATTACCGTTGGTGTATCCATTTCCATTACCGTTGCCATTAGTGTATCCATTTCTGTTACCATTACCATTGCCATTGATAACTCCATTTCCGTTACCGTTCGTGTAGCCATTTCCGTTTCCATTGCCGTTACTATAACCATTCCCGTTTGCCGTTG